TTAAAACTGCCAAGTAATATCTTTGGTAATTTTTTTTTCTTTTTATAGCTTTGTAGAAGCTCCTCAATATCTTCTTTTTTTTTTTTTTGTTAAAAGGTCTTTGATTAGTTCTTTTCTAGACTTTATTTTTTTCAAAAATATTTTATCAAAGATTTTTTTTTTGACTTTTTCTTTTGTTAGTCTTTGCTGATTTTTATTAGATTGGGCTTTCTCTTAGATTTTTTTACATATCTCTTCTTCTAGTCTGTTTCAAATACCTTGATAGATTGTATATATTGCTAGATGATCTTGTGTTTCTAATTCTTCTACACATGCTATGTATGTATTGGTTTTGTATAAATCTGAATACCTTCTGTTTAGCTTGTCTATAGTCAGTAGCATCTTATTTAGGCATTTTACTCTAAAAATCTAATCTTTATTTTTTTTGGTACTAGTACAATTACCTCTTTTAAATCTATTTATATTTTTCTATATTTTTTTCTATTCTATTGATTCCTCTTTTTTTTTTTGTTCTACTATATTTGGTTACTTTTCAGATTGGCCTATTCTATATCTAAAAATACTAATATTATTTTTTAATATTGTTTTTAACTGGGTTATTTATTTTTATATTTTTTTAACATGTTATTAAATCTTCTTTAGATCTTTTAAAAATCAAGATTTGGACCTTTTTCAGCTCCTTCTTTTGCTAGTTAATCTGCAATTTTATTTTCTAGAATGTTGCTATACCTTTTTATTTTTTTAATTTTAATATCTAGTTTTTTACTACTTTTGAGTTTTTGAAAATACAGAAATATAGTTTTATTTTTAATTTTTATACTTTCTCTTAGCTTACTAAGATTTTTACTTTTTTTAATTGTCTAGATTGCTCTATACTATCTGTTATTATAGTAACTTTTGCATTTTTTAGTACTACTGCCAGAGCTGTTATTATAGCTTCTAGCTCTGTTCTTGTTAAAGAAGGCCAGTTTAATAATACATATTAAAACTTAGCTAGTTGTTTCTTTTCTTTTTTAGTTTCTTTTAAAACTATTCAACCTGCTTCTAGCTTAGCTTTGTTTTGAAGTCTTTTAGGTTTAGCTAAAAGCTATCTATATAAAATATTATTTCTTTTTTATTACAAAGTAATTTGGCTTTTTCTTTTAACTTTTCTTTTGCTTTGTCTTCTTCAAAGCTATTCTCTATTAATTCTTCTTCTATCATTCAAATTTCTATATTTTTGTAGCAGCTTTCTTGAGCCTCTTTTAAAGTTTTTTGTATATTGCTTTTATACATTAATGAGCTTTTAGATATTTTGATTTCCCATGTATTTTTATTCTCTAGTATTACTTTTTCTAATATATTTTTCTAAATAGCTTTTTTAGTATTTTTATATTTTTTTTAAGTGACATATTTGCTAATCAGGTTCTACTATGCAATTTTTACAATATATTAAAATTGTTTTATCTTTCTCTAGATCTTGTTTTTCTTTCTAATACTCAATTTTAAAAGTGTTTTTATTCTTTTTTTTAACAATTCTTCTTATATTTAAATTGCCATTTTTACTCTCAAGAAGAATCCAATCTTTTACGTGCCTATTTGAACTAATTTTTTGAAGGTATATATATATATATATATATATATATTTTTGATAATTATATTACAATTCCAATACTTTATTGATATTAAATTTGGTCTGAAGATATGAAAAAAAAAATTTATATTATAGAAATATGGGGGTGAGTCAATAGAAAAGAGACAAATCATTTTTAGTAATTTTTTCTTAATTTTTAAATTAAAATATCTCAACAACTATTTAATCAAAATTGTTAAA